AGGGGGAATTGAAGCAGAGGAGAGGAGAAGGCAGAGTCAAGATTTCACAATGGGAGTGGGAGTGTGTGTGGTTATGACAAGGATAGGACAAGATGCAAAGGTGGTTTCTGGAAGCTGTAGAGAAGAAAAAAAACCTCAAATTTTCCAGGCTCTGATTTGGAAGAGACTGTATGTGAAAATAACTTTTTAATGTTCATTAACTCATTGGGTAGGCTGTTTGCAGAATCTGTAAAGTAACTAGTGTCATGTGTACTTCAGGTACATTACTTGGTACCATTACCCATTGCTTTCTGTTGCTTTTTATTTTATTTATTTATCGTGTCAGGGGCAACTAGACAATTGTATTACATTTCTAACAGAACAAAACAAACAAACAGACAAAGCACAAAGTTTGTAAGCTTGGTAGTTTATTAAATGTCCTTTGACCAGTATCTGGCCACTTGGAGTGCCTCTGGTGTTGCCGCAAGAAGGTCCTCCATTGTGTATGTAGCAGGACTCAGGTTGCATTGCAGCAGGTGGTCTGTAGTTTGCTCTTCTCCACACTCGCATGTCGTGGAGGCTTGAGTCATCCCGGATAGATTACTGCAACGCACTCTACGTGGGGTTGCCTTTGAAGACTGTTCGGAAACTTCAATTAGTCCAGCGGGAGGCAGCCAGACTACTCACTGGAGCGTCATACAGGGAGCATACCACCCCCCTGTTATGTCAGCTCCACTGGCTGCTGATCCAGTTCTGAGCACAATTCAAAGTGCTGGTTTTGACCTACAAAACCCTATACGGTTCCGGCCCAGCGTATCTGTCCGAACGCATCTCCTTTTATGTCCCATCTCGGAGTCTGAGATCCTCTGGGGAGGCCCTGCTCTCGGCCCCGCCTCTGTCACAAGTGAGATTGGCGGGGACGAGGAGCAGGGCCTTCTCAGTGGTGGCCCCTCACCTATGGAATTCACTCCCCGGGGAGATTAGATCAGCAACATCCCCCCTTTCTTTCAGAAAGAAATTAAAAACATGGATGTGGGATCAGGTGTTTGGGCAATCTGGCAGAGAAATAAGGGACTGTGACGACGGATAGGAATTGGACAAGGTGAAACGAAATATGAACTCTGAGTTGGCGAACGCTGTGTCTGAGATTGGCTATTGACTGTGTGATATATTGTTGTTTTAATTGTTTTTAATTGTTGACCATTTAATTGCTGGTGTTATATGTTATTGTATTTGTGTAGGCACCAAGATGTGCCTTTTTGTAAGCCGCCCTGAGTCCCCCCTCGGGGGTTGAGAAGGGCGGGGTAGAAGTACACGAAATAAAATAAATAAGTTAGAGGTCCCTTCCCCTTTCCCCTTCCCTTCCACATTCCTTTTCCCTCCCCTTCCCCTCCCTTTCCCCGCTCCTTCCCCTCCCTTCCCCCTCCCTTTCCCCTCCCCTTCCCCTTTCCCCTTCCCTTCCAGATTCGTTTCCCCTCCCCTTCCTCTCCCTTCCCCCTTCCTTTCCCCTTCCCCTCCCTTTCCCGTTCCCATTCCCCTCCCCTTCCCCCTTCCGATTCCCTGGTGAATAGAGATATCTGGGGGATTTGTTCTGAAATGTCCCTGTGTCTGGAATGACCCAGGAATTGGTGCCTATGGGTTTGCCTTAACTAATTCTCTGCATAACTCATATGAAGGAGGGAACAATAAAGACTTTCAAATCCTTTGTTTATTTTTACTGTGTGTTCTTATGTTTTCTTTGTTTTAAGTGTTACCATGTGTTCTTATTGGATGTATGTCTCTTAATTAGTAGAGTCGTGAATATGCTCATGAGTGGGAATGATTTCAAAATAAAGCATTACCCAAACCTTAAAAAGGAAGTTAGAAGTCAGTTGAGTCAGTTGAGTCAGTTAGAGCATGAGTAGAGTCACTATGCTGCAGTGAGATGTTCAGTTAATAGATGAGTCTGTTTGCAGCAGAAGTATATATAGCACAGTTTTAAGTATAATTCAGTTAATATGAAACCAATAAGCAGTGTACCTGTATGCTAAATACATGAAGTTTATAAATAAATCAACGATGTTAACCTTTAATGAAGACTACTTATTTTTTGGTCTCTTGACGGCATGGTTTAAAAGCAATATATTTTATGGGAGAGTAAATGATATTTAGGGCAACTGAAATAACATTGGGTTGTTGTAGGTTTTTCCGGGCTATATGGCCATGTTCTAGAGGCATTTCTCCTGACGTTTCGCCTGCATCTATGGCAAGCATCCTCAGAGGTAGTGAGGTCTGTTGGAACTAGGAAAATGGGTTTATATATCTGTGGAATGACCAAGGTTGGACAAAGAACTCTTGTCTGCTGGAGCTAGGTGTGAATGTTTCAACTGACCACCTTCATTAGCATACAATGGCCTGACTGTGCCTGGAGCAATCTTTTGTTGAGAGGTGATTAGATATCCTTGTTTGTTTCCTCTCTGTTGTTGTGCTGTTGCAATTTTAGAGTTTTTTAATACCGGATGAACCAACCTGGACACAGCATTTATTTGAGAACACAGAAATGCTGGACCACTCTCACAACCACCAGGTCAGACTACACAGAGAAGCCATTGAAATCCACAAGCATGTGGACAATTTCAACAGAAAGGAGGAAACCATGAAAATGAACAAAATCTGGCTACCATATTAAAAAAACTCTAAAATTACAACATAAGCAGAGGGAAAACAATCAGGGACATCTAATCACCTCTCAACAAAAGATTGCTCCTGGCACTTCCAGTCTATCAAATGCTAATAAAGGTGGTCATTTGAAACATTCACACCTAGCTCCAGCAGACAAGAGTCCTTTGTCCCACCCTGGTCTTTCCACAGATATATAAACCCATTTTCCTAGTTCCAACAGACCTCACTACCTCTGAGGATGCTTGCCATAGATGCAGGCGAAACGTCAGGAGAGAATGCCTCTAGAACATGGCCATATAGCCCGAAAAAACCTACAACAACCCAGTGATTCCAGCCATGAAAGCCTTCGACAATACATTGAAATAACATTTCTGAAAATCTGCTATATACTTTCTGCAGTGGCATATCTTTGTTCCTAACAGTTCAAAGAGATAACCAGGTATATCAGTCTAACAGCTGAGAAACCTAAATTGCCTTGCATGAATACTAGGTAATGGTTATTCCCAATAGTGTGTACGCCAATAAATCTCCAAAAGGGTCATGCTTACAAAAGCATGTGAAGATTCCAGGTTTTCCCCATGGTTGTTACAAATACTCAGGGATAAGCCAGTGTCCTCATCCAGGTTGGAAGGCAAACCTACTTGGGTTTTAGCCCAGACTTTATAAAGAAGTATGTAAGTTGCTGAATCTATTTTTGGCAAGTTAATATTTAGCATCATGGCTAAATTATTAGGATTTTTTTCAAGTGGATTCAATGCCATGCTAGGACAATAGTCCCTGGGCATGATTGGGGACCCTCGGGGCTAGTCTGCATGAAGGAATCATATGCAATATACTTTTTCTGCACCCAGTCAAGTGTATTTTCTTCAGACTCTGTCTTGGCCCCTTTTGTTTTCAACTATGCCGTCCCCACTTCCTTCTCTACTCCAGTGTTTCTCAACCTGGGGGTCGGGACCCCTGAGGGGGTCGCGAGGGGGTGTCAGAGGGGTCGCCATAAGAAAACACAGTATTTTCTGATGGTCATGGGGATTCTGTGTGCCAAGTTTGGTTCAATTTCGTTTGTGGAGTTCAGAATGTTCTTTGATTGTAGGTGAACTATAAATCCCAGCAACTACAACTCCCAAAAATCAAGCGTTAAACTCCCCAGACGCCACCAGTGTTCACATTTGGGCATATTGAGTATTCGTGCCAAGTTTGGTCCAGATCATCATTGTTTGAGTCCACAGTGCTCTCTGGATGTAGGTGAACTACAACTCCCAAACTCAAGTCAATGCTCACCAAACCCTTCTCGTGTTTTCTGTTGGTTATGGGAGTTCTGTGTGCCAATTTGGTTCCATTCCATCATTGGTGGAGTTCAGAATGCTCTTTGATTATAAGTGAACTATAAATCCCAGCAACTACAACTCCCAAATTACAAAACCAATCCTCCCCCAAACCCACTAGCATTCACATTTGGGTGTATTGGGTATTTGTGCCCAGTTTGGTCCAGTGAATGAAAATGCATCCTGCACATCAGATATTTACATTATGTATTGTCGAAGGCTTTCATGGCTGGAATCACTAGGTTCTTGTGGGTTTTTCGGGCTATAGGGCCATGTTCTAGGGGTAGGGAACCTTTGACCCTCCAGCTGTGGTGGACTTCAACTCCCACAATTCCTTGAGGCTCGGCATTCGCCCCAAAGGCTTACCTTGGCCCAATCAGGTTCTTGTAGGTTTTTTCGGGCTATAGGGCCATGTTCTAGAGGCATTCCTCCTGACGTTTCGCCTGCATCTATGGCAAGCATCTTCAGAGGTAGTGAGGTCTGTTGGAAATAGGACAATGGATTTATATATCTGTGGAATGGCTGGGGTGGGGCAAAGAGCTCTTCTCTGCTGGAGCTAGGTGTGAATGTTTTAACTGACCACCTTATTAGGTTGTTGTAGGTTTTTTCGGGCTATATGGCCATGTTCTAGAGGCATTCTCTCCTGACGTTTCGCCTGCATCTATGGCAAGCATCCTCAGAGGACAAGCCGACCTCACTACCTCTGAGGATGCTTGCCATAGATGCAGGCGAAACGTCAGGAGAAATGCCTCTAGAACATGGCCCTATAGCCCGAAAAAACCCACAAGAACCATTTATGTTTAGATACTGTTTTAGACTACAACTAAAACAATATTATGGTTGGGGGTCACCACCACATGAGGGACTGGATTAAGGGGTCACGGCATTAGGAAGGTTGAGAACCACTGTTCTACTCTGTCTAACATCAGCAGTCTTTCCTTGGCCACAATTATTCCATGCGCCCGAGAGAAGCCTTTTTGTACTTCACCTTCTTTTCACCTTCCCTTTCTCACAGTCTCACACTCTGTTTTTGTGTAGGAGGTTGGAACGAAATAGTTTCAACTGCAGCTGCGATATCCGTTGGATCCAGCTGTGGCAGCAGAAAGGTGAAGCAAATTTGCAGTACCAGGAGTTGACCTGCACAAGCATGGAAACCAGCCACATCTCTATTCAGGAGATGAATATCAGCCATTGTGGTAAGACAAAACAGCAACAACAAAAACCCTGCTTAATTGGCCCCGTGCCATGGAACCAAAAATATTTTTGTGGTTTATCAATGTGTAAAAAACATGTTTTACGTTACTATTTTCCCTCTATTGCTTATGTTCCAGACATATATGTCATTTCTTGTGTTGGGCTGCTGTCAGTCTTTCGGGCTGTATGGCCATGTTCCAGAAGCATTCTCTCCTGATGTTTCGCTTGCATCTATGGATGCCTTCCATAGATGCAGGCGAAATGTCAGGAGAGAATGTTTCTGGAACATGGCCAAACAGCCCAAAAAACTTACAGCAACCCAGTGATTCAGGCCATGAAAGCCTTCGACACAGAGGCAGCCCTAGGTAATTTTCAATGGTAAGCAAACAGTATTTTGCCCCCCCCCCCCCCAACCAATCATTGATATATATTTTCTGTTTGTCATGGGAGTTCTGTGCCATATTTGGTTCAATTCCATCATTGGTGGAGTTCAGAATGCTCTTTGATTGTAGGTGAACTATACATCCCAGTAACTACAACTCGCATATGTCAAGGTGTATTTTCCCCCAAGAGCACCTCAAGAGCGCCCCTGGGCAAAACCAACTATACTGCGAATGCTTACTTAGCGTAATGGGTTGAGCTGCCCCTGTCTTCAATACAGGAATTTCTATAAATTTTAATTTGCTACCGAGCACAATTCAAAGTGCTGGCTTTAGCCTATAAAGCCCTAAACGATTCCGGCCCAGCTTACCTGTCTGAACGTATCACCTCCTATGAACCTTCTAGGAGCTTAAGATCATCTGGGGAGGCCCCGCTCTTGATCCCATCAGCCTTGCAAGTGTGATTGGCAGAGATGAAGGACAGGGCCTTCTCAGTGGTGGCATCCCCAGGGATATTAGATTGGCCCCTTTCCTCCTGACTTTCCGGAAAAAAATAAAGACCTGGCTCTTTGAGCAAGCTTTTGAGAATGCAGCGGAATAGATAACACGGAACTATGAATGATGAACATGGAATGGCCAGACAATGTTATTGGATAACGTTTTGAACAGGATGACACCGATGATTATATGCTTTAACGGTTTTTATTTATGTTTTATATTGTAATGTTGATTGTTTTTAAAGGCACTTTTATGAATGCCTGACATCGAATTGTGCCAATCTGTAACTTGCCTTGAGTCGCCGTATGGCTGAGAAAGGCGGGCTATAAATATCGTAAATAGATAAATAAATAAATTTCTCCTTCATCCCTGCCATTGTTTTCAAATGTGTGACTCAAGAAGCCAAGCATAGCTTGCCCACAGTCCATTTTGAATCACTGCTGAGCCTGAAAACGTGCTCTAGCTGATTGCCTGGCAGTGCAAAAAAACCCAGAAAGGTTCTCCGGAATCTGTGGCAGATGAGCTGATTCTGTGAAAGCCGGCAACTCTGCTGAGCTTGGTGTATGTCAACATCTTCTGATCAGTAGCTCTGTCAGCTTCCTTGGCATTCCGCCTGCCTTGCTGTGGGATTCCTTTAGTGCTTTTTTTCTTCCTCAGTTCAACTCCTTTACACCGAGGTCAAGTGCACTGCATCTAAACCTGACAAGATAATTTTCCACTCTCCTCTTAAAACCAACGATAAAGAAAATGCCACAGAGTTCTCAGCACAGCCTGACACACGTGTGGCCGGAACAAGATTCAGAGTTGAGGAGCTTCCTCATTGGGTGCTCTTCTGTTAGCCACAATGCTGTATATAAGCATCTACGTAAATAAAAATGCAATGTTCGTTTGTGGGATTAACATAATTCAAAAACCTCCAGTTGAATTGACACCAAATTTGGACACAACACACCAGGCCTGTAGCGAGGGGGTGGTTTTAGGGGTTCAAACCTGGTTAACCAAATTGTTGGGGTTCAGCCTGAGTTTGAACTTGAACCTGATTCTCTGTTTGTTCCTCCTGATGCTAACGAAAGTTGTTTACCGTCTGTTGGGGTTCAGCCTGAGTTTGAACTTGAACCTGATTCTCTGTTTGTTCCTCCTGATGCTAATGAAAGTATATTACTGATGCTAGTGGAAATGTACCTTTTGATGTCAATGCTCCTGAAATTAGTGAGGAAGAAACTGCTGTAGGTTTGGAAAATGCCAATGTTCCTGAAATTAGTGAGGAAGGAACTTCTGTAGATTTGGAAAATGAAAGTACCAGTGTTCATGAGAATGTTTCAGAGGGAGACCTTGACCTTTCCCTCCCTTCTGCACCTGTTAACTGTAATGACAACAGAAGGGGCCAAATTTGGGAAGACAGAAGTAAATCACTCAGTTTGCGTCGATCCTCCCGAATTCAAGAATTAAAAACATTGGCTTCAAAACAGAAGGGCGGTTCACGGAACCAATTCTTGAGTTTTAATTTCCTTACGCTGGGCTGACTGTCTCAGTTCAGGCATCGTTTCAGAATTGATGAAGACCTTGGCAGTTCTCCCGGTTCCCTGGCCATAGTTTGGGAAGATTTCTAGGATATCAAGTACGGTTAGTGGATTGCTAACAGGTTCCAGTATTTCCCAGTGAGGCTTTTGGTTTTGCTTTGTCCATTTAAATTCATGTTTGCTGATTTTGCTGTGGCTTTTGACTTGCATTTTTCCTTTATTTTGTAACCATTTTTCTTCAATAAAAAAGGATTGTTTTTCACAGCCAATTGTGGTGGATAGTTATCTTAGGGCCTCGTTCCCTGCTCTGGATTGCAACAAGGAAAGCCATTAATGAACTGTAAGCACTATCTCAAGCAAATATTGACAGTTTATTCACACTGTCATTACTTGCAGCAATAGCCGATGTAGTGAAGCAACCAAGGTGGTGGTGGGGGGGGTGTTGAATGCACTCATTAAGGAGGCCAGACTTGGTGGAGGTGGTTGACAGGGGCGGAGCTGCAGGCTATTGAAGGTTGCTCTGCCCCCTGCTCTGCTCTTTGCTTCAACATGAGCTAGGAGGCAGGTTTCAACCCCACCCACCCCAAAATTTTCAACCCTCCCCAAAATTTTCAACCCCTCCGCCCAAATTGTCAACCCTCCCCGAAATTTTTTTCTGGCTACGGCCCTGCAACCCACCTATCAGGTCAACAAGTGACCATCACCCATAAAAACACTGAAAAACACAACAGAAGGGACTTCAAAAGCCAAAAAAAAAATAATACATTACAACACATGCGCAAAACCACATATATATGCAAACACACATATATACACACATACACAAATATATACAAACACAAAACACATATACACACACTAGGCCACAGCAAAGCGTGGCAGGGGACACCTAGTATATAAATAAAAATGTAATGTTCATTTGTGGGATTAACATAACTCAAAAACCACTGGACGAATTGACACCAAATTTGGAGCCAATATACCTGTCAGGTCAACAAGTGAACATCACTCATAAAAACACTGAAAAACACAACAGAAAGGACTTAAAAAGCCCAAAAAATACATTACAACGCATGCACAAAACCACATATATTTGCAAATACACATATATGCACACATACACAAATATATACACACAAAAAACACGTATACACACACTAGGCCACAGCAAAGCATGGCAGGGGACACCTAGTCTATATAAATAAAAATGTAATGTGTGTTTGTGGGATTAACATAACTCAAAAACCACTGGACGAATTGCCACCAAATTTGGGCACAACACACCTATTAGGTCAACAAGTGATCATCCCTCATAAAAACACTGAAAAACACAACAGAAGGGAGTTAAAAAGCCAAAAAATAAAAATACATTACAACGCATGCGCAAAACCACATATATATGCAAACACACATATATACACACAAACACAAATATATATACACACAAAACACATATATGCACACTAGGTGTCCCCTGCCACAGCAATGTGTGGCAGGGGATGGCTAGTCTATATAAATAAAAATGTAATGTTCGTTTGTGGGATTAACATAACTCAAAAACCACTGGACGGATTCACACCAAATTTGGACACAAGACACCTACTAACCCAAGGAGTGACCATCACTCAAAAAATTGAGTTTGTCATTTTGGAGTTGTAGTTGCTGGGATTTATAGTTCACTTACAATCAAAGAGCATTCTGAACTCCACTAACGATGGAATTGAACCAAACGTGGCACACAGAACTCCCATGACCAAGAGAAAATACTGGAAGGGTTTGGTGGGCATTGACATTGAGTTTGGGAGTTGTAGCACACTGACATCCAGAGAGCACTGTGGACTCAAACAACGATGGATCTGGACCAAACTTGGCACAGATATTCCATATGCCCAACTAGGAACACAGATGGAGGATGCATGCCATAGATGCAGGCGAAACGTCAGGAGAAATGCCTCTAGAACATGACCATATAGCCCGAAAAAACCCACAAGAACCTAGTGATTCCAGCCATGAAAGCCTTCGACAATACATTTTAACAAAGATGGAGTTTGGGGGAAATAGACCTTGACATTTGAGAGTTGTAGTTGCTGGGATTTATAGTCCACCTACAATCAAAGAGCATTCCAAACCTCACCAACGACAGAATTGGGGCAAACTTCCCACACAGAACCCCCATGACCAACAAAAAATACTTCAGGCCATCCAGTCCAACTCCCTTTACCTGGGAAAAAAATGTAATCAAAGCCCTCCTGACAGCCATCCCCCATGACCAATAGAAAATACTTAAGGCCATCCAGTCTAACTCCATTCACCAGGGCAAGAAAACAGGGCAAGAAATGCTGTTTACCCACAAGCATAAAGAAATTACATATATTAGAAATCAACACTTTCACATTACTTTATTTTCCAGATCACCAGTCTGGGCCACAGCAACGCGTGGCAGGGGATGGCTAGTATATGAATAAAAATGTAATGTCCATTTGTGGCATTAACAGAACTCAAAAACCACTGGACCAATTGACACCAAATTTGGACACAATGTACCTATCAGGCTAACAAATGACCATCACTCATAAAAACACTGAAAAACACAACAGAAGGGAC